CTCACAGCAACCTCCAACTCCTGGGCTCAAGTGAGTCTCCTGCCTCCGCCTCCCAAGTAGCTGGGACTACAGGTGCCTGCCACAATGCCCTGCTATACTTTTTGGTTGCAGCCATCATTATTGTTTGGCAAGCCTGGGCTGGATTCGAACCCACCACCTTAGGTGTATGTGGCTGGAGCCTTAGCCACTTGAGCCACAGGTGCCAAGCCTATTTTGCGTTCTTGAATGCTCTTCCTTGGAGTTACAGCTTGCCGAACTTCTTTCTTGGCTCAGCTTCCTGTCTTTGGCTTTGTAGACTCTGATTCCATCCAGTTTTTCTTTTTTGGCTCAGGAGCCTCTGACGAGGGTTGCTACCAGTCAGCCATTGTCCCCGGTTTTCAACTTTCTTACTTGCCATCTGTATCTTGAGCTATGTTTCTGACATTTGTACAATTTTCTTTTGATTCAGGTCCACTGCGTATATCCATTGTGATCCCTTGGGGATGGCAAACTGTTTTGTTTGTTCATGTTGCCAGAGTTCTTTTGCTGGCTTCTGCTCATCTGAATCCTATTCTCCCAGCTCAGAGCTGGGGAGTTTTTGCTGGGGATTCTCTAACTTAGTGAGAACTGGTCCCTAGATGGTCAGAGCCTTTGGACCCTATTCTGTACAATTGACCTGGCAGACCAGGGACAGGTGCACCGAACGCCTATAATGCAGCTGTCCTGTTTTTCCCATCTCCCCTTGATTTTCACAGTTCAAGCTGGTGCTAGATGGTATTCTTGTGAAGTGGTAGGTTGTTCCCCAGACTGTTGTTGGAAGCTCAAGTTGGGAGCTGAGTAAGACCTCTTCCACAGAGGCTGGCATTGTAGGGGATTTCTCTGCCTGTGGTCTCCCCATCCAGGTGAAAGTGGCAGCTAGATGAGGGTACCTAGGCAGTGGTTGTGGGTGTTTGCTTGATCCAGGTCCAGGTGCAATGATAGCTTGAGGGTGAAGCATCCCTGTTGGGTTGAACCACAGGGTGGTTCTGCAGGCCAAGCAAGTACTGGTGGGTCCTCAGGGGCACTCTCAGTCCCTAGGTATAGTGCTGGAATCTGGGCTGGGGGGCGTTGTAGGCATGATGAGAACACTTGATCCTCAGGGTCAGAGCTGGAGCCTGTGAGGACAGACCTGTGGTCCTGGCAGCTGTGATGAATCCTTAGTGGTGGAGCCTGGGGGCACAACTGGAATGTTGGAGCCATGAGACCAGTGCAGCAGGAGCCTCAGAGCCGGAGCTGCGGACTGGAGGTCAGGCAGGAGCTGCTTAGTTGAGACAACAGGGTGAGATAGGAGCACAGCAACCATGGAAGTGGAGCCTGGGGGATCCGTGGCTACCTATATTTTATTATTAAGCCAACTTTTCACTTCTGTAACAATCTTCTTTGAGTCATGATGTATTATATACATACCTATGTGTATAATTTATTCGTGTGACTTATTTGTATGGGGCTTTTGTGCTCGTGATCCTAGGAAATACTTTTAATTTTTTTAATGATGCCTTTTCCAGGTTTTAGTATTGTATCAAGGTTATTCTGGGTTCATAAAATGAATTATAAAATTATTCTTTCTTTTTCTATTTCCTGAAAGTGTTTAAAATTATTTTTTCTTTAATTTTTTTAGAAGCATTTGCCTGTAAAGCTATCTAGGCCAGGAATTTTCACTGAGGAAAGAATTTTAATGGACTGAGTTTCTTTAACAGAAATAATTTTTTTTTCTTATGTCAGTTTTGCTATTTCAAATAGTCCATTTGATCTAAATTTTAAAATTAGCAAAAGATAGCTCATCAATCAATCCTTTTAATATCGAGAGAATTTATAATAATGTTCCCTTTTTGTTCTTGATGCTAACTTGCATTTCTCATTTTTTCTTGATTTTTTTTTTTTAGGTTTATCAATGTTAAAGAGACTTACTTTCAGATTTGCTGCCCCCCCCATTATATATCAGCCTACTATTTCGTTGGTTTCTCTTTATCTTTTATTCTCACAGTTCAGTTTTTAGTGTATTTAGAATACAGCCATCAAGAGAATCTAATTGTAGACTATTTCATCACCCCAGAAAGAAGCTTCATCCCATTAGCAGTTGCTCCCCAATCCTGTTACTCCACTCCATCCCCAGCCCAGTCTTTGGCAACTGCTAATCCACTTCAAGTCTATGCTTTGCCTATTCTGGATACTTCACGCAAATGGAATCATGCAGGTGGTCCTTTGCAACTGGCTTCTTTCACTTAACACAATGTTTTCCAAGGTATTCTGTGCTGTAGCAGGTGTCATTCCTTTTTTAAAATTTCCAAATAAGATCCCATTATATGTACATTCACATGGTCTTCAACTTATAAATATGTAAGTCAAAAATGCATCTAAATATCCTGAGAAAACCAAGGTAAAGTCAGAAACTCGTAAGTCAAATCACCGTAAGCTGGCTACCATCTGTACTGTATTTGTTTATCCAGCTGTCAGTTGATGAACACTTAGGTTATTTCTATGTTTTTGGTTATTAATAATGTTGCTATGAACATTTACATGACATTTTTCTATTCTCAGTATTTCTCTTGGGGATACCCCTAGGAGTTTGTGTGACTGGGTTGTATGCTTTCTGTATTTTAACCCTAGGCTAAAGGGTTAAAGGTTCCTGGTTCCTAAGGTTCCTCCTTAAAGGAACTACAGAACTGTTTTCTGAAGTGTTGCCACCAAAAATGTGTGAGGGTTTCTCCAAGTCTTTGCCAACACTTGCTATTATGTTTTTTTAATTTGTCTTTTTAATGAAACGGTTTCTTGCAGTTTTGATTTGTATTTCTATAAGGAACAATTAGGCTGAGCTTATTTTCATGTGCTTATTGGTCATTGGTATATCATCTTTGGAGAAATGCCTCTTCAAATCATTTGCCCATTTAAATATTTTTTATTGTTCTGAATTCTTTATATACAGTGCGAAGTTCTTATAATTTGTAGATAATTTTCCCATTCTGTGGGTTGTAATTTGACTTTCTATTATGTCCTTTGACAAGTTTTTAATTGTGATGAAGTCTGATTTACCTTTTTAGTCATTTGTGTTTTTAATATTAAGAAACTATTGCCCAACCCAAGGTAATTATTTACTCTTAGTTTTCTTTCAGGAATTTTACTGTTTTAGCCCTTACAATTACATATATGATCATTTAATTTCTGCAACTGGCATGAGATAGGGGTCCAAATTCATTTTTTCCCCATGTGCTTCTTTTGTTTGTCTAATTTATGGTTTTAGAGATGAAACCAGATTGACAATTTCTAAACTTTCTACTTTTCTAATATACAGTAATTATTTAAAGCTAAACATTTACTTCTCTAAGTATTGCTTTAATTGTATTTCACTATTTTGCTGTGCCGTATTTTCATTATCATTCAGTTAACAGCACGTTCTAATTCCCACTGCAGTTTCTCCTTGACCCTGAGGTTATTCAGAAGTGTGTTGCTTGGTTTCCAAACTTTTGGGATTTTCTAGACTTGCTGTATTGACAGCATATAATCTCTTTTGGCAAGTGGTCCAATGCATGAGACAATATACCTATGGGTGTTTGATGTAGAGTTTGACATCTGTTAGAGCTGGGGTCCCAGTTATGCCTGTCCCATGAATAAGACCTCCTGATGGTTCTGGCCCCAGGTTGCTGAGTCTCTCTGTTGAGCCAGCAGACAAGCCATCTTTCTGCCACTGTGCCCTGTTAGGACTCCTGAGTTACAGGGGTTCTGGAACAGAACACAATGATTGTTTTATGCCATGAAGTTTTCAGATGGTTTGTTATACAGCAATATAAGAGGACTGTAATTTTGCACAGTCCTTAAGAGATTTAAGATTATGAAACTAGAGTTTGAGAAAAGAACTCTAGCATAACATATTTTACATACATTTGGAAGGGGCCAAGATTAGACCAAAAATATTGACATTTTTACAGCTGTAATTCTGGTAGCTAGTATCATAACTATGGAACAGAATGTCATCAGAAGTTTACATAACATCTTGCATCACCTTTTTCCTATGTTATTCCTGTATTATTATCCACCTAACTATATTGTGTGTGTATAAAAGACAAGTCCGCAAACAGATTCATACAGTGATACACCATTAAAAGTAACATTTAGTTCTGAAATACAAAAAAAGGATAATAAAGGGATAATAAACAATTGTTAGCTCAAAAGTAAAGGAAATAAAGTGTTTTTGGCTATTCTGATTTCAAATTGCTGGGTAACAAACCTGTGAGAATAAAGCAAATCTCTCTCTAAATGTGATGGGAGTGTCTGCATCTTTGCCCACTGGTCTAGACAGCTGCCACCCAGGGCCCTGTGCTGCTGCTGAGTTAGCAGATCTCTTAGGTAAGTGCAAAGTTTGGTGTCTTATTCAAGGTCCGTACGAGTCCATTACTCGTTTGCTGTATGCTGTGTTCACAGGACTGCTGGGTAGGAACATTTAAAAATATGTATTTGTGGGGGGCACCTGTGGCTTAAAGGAGTAAGGTGCTGCCCCCATATGCCGGAGGTGGCGGGTGCAAACTCAGGCGCGGCCAAAAACTGCACACACACAAAAGTATGTATTTGTTCATTTTGTGACACTTAATGTAACAAACTGCCAGGGTAAAGGAAAAACAGTGTTTATTTAGGCCATTGACTAGGATCATAATAAATAATACAATATACTAATGTAATAACAGATGTTCTCATGCATTCAGCACATTTATAAATATACAAGAAAGCTGGCTTACAGGGCTTTGGGACAAATTTGGAAAAGTGTATTTGGCAATACAGTAAAAGTTAACAGTGTTAAGACTATCAGATTCTGTTTTCTAGCGTTTTAAAAAATACATCCCCTATACATCTGTGAATATGTGGTAATGGTCCTTAATAGTTCTACTTTTTGTAAACATGCCAGAGTTAAGTCAATTGCCAAAGGATCTGGGGCCAAACATATTTTAGACAAGAAATAACAACTCTTCTGCATTTTGGTGTGGAAGCTGATATAAAACCCCAAAGTGGAAGTTTATAAATAGGAACTTTGATACTCAGTATATAAATGCTGTAGGTATTATATTTGTAATGTGCTAAATGACCAATAAGTGATGAAATTTGATTAAAGCTTAATTTTGCTAGTAAATTTCACACAAAGGGTTAAAATAAGATAACCTTTAACATAAAGCTTTAGAACAAATAATTTAAACATAGCTTAGACACTGAAAACGTGTTTTTAATTATTATTTACAGTAATGATATCAGTGTTTCGTTTAAGTTAGCCAATTGCTAGTCTTGAATTTTTCTTTCAACATCTGTTATTGAGATCTTCCTTGTCAATACTTAGGCAAATTAGTTCAGCGAAGGAGAGCGATCTGTGGTCCAGAGTAGTTCGATGTAGGGCCATTTGGTTTGGAGGCAGCGTTTAATAGGAGTGTCATCTGTCTGAAGCATGGGGTCTTCAAAGCCCATGACAACGGCTGTCCCTTCTACATACATGACCTGTTAAAATAAAGCCACCAGGGTCAATCAACATTCTTAGCAAATTCTTAGCGGGGACGCAGTTTTTACAGACTAGCAAATATAGTATTACTATGAAACTTTACGTATAATTTTATGGTGACAGAAATCATGAGCAAGCTTATCTCATTATTCATAAACGAGATGGCAATACAAATTTTAATTGCTAGCTGACCAGATGATTTTTAAAATTCAAGATTATGATTTAAAACATCAAGGTGAATGATGAAACACACACAGTTTCTCACAAACAATATTTTTCAAATAATATATATAGCACTTGAAAGAAGTTTTAAAGATGATTATTTCTATGTGGTATTTTTACAGGTCCTTCTGCTTACTAGCCAGACACGTGGCTGCTCGTGCTGCCTCATGGAAGGGAAAGCTGTCGTAAGATTAGGAGGGATGTCAGGACAGAAACAAAACTTCAAATAATAGGAAGAGGCTGAGGGATGACACTACCCAGGTAGTTTGTATGTGGTGGCAATGATCGTACAAACTGTAACTAGGTGGCAGAAACCAGGAAAAATTCGATTCCGATTATCTTAAACAACTTAGAAGTATTTTAGACATGACACACCCACAAAAACCCTCACACCCACAAAAACCCTCACTTGTTAACAAGGGCTCACAGTGGACATTAAAGCACTCCTCAGTCATGAATTTCTTTTGGTACCAAGAGAAATTTCGACTCTATAATTTAAATGGAACAGATACACACTGCCTTGTTCCATGTTCTTCCAAACTAAAAGCCATAAGTTATTTGACTAAAGAGCCAAAAGAAACAACTTTATTAGCCTTAAATGCCATAAAAGCATAATTTTATATTACTTTAGGCAGCTGTAAAGACATTCTTTAATGTGAAATATGTATTTTTCATCTTTGTTTTGGTTAATGTATTAGTTTGTTTCTAGTGTTACGGGATATAAATTTAATAAAATCTACAACTCCCACTTTTCATTTCCCTAAAGCAAAACTGCCTTTTCTGACAAGTTATGCACAAGTAGTGTAAGTCAGGTTATTACAGTTAAATATGACAGCCCCTAACAAAAAACTTTGTGTGCTCACGGCAGGAGAGCGGAAGTGCTTGGGGAATGCCCTGTGACCTACCCTTAGTGGCCTCCACTAGCCAGCCTTCTCTTTTCGTGTGTTTCCTCGGTTGTGTTTAGTAGTCCCTTACTACGCAATCTGCCATATTTCTAACTCCCCAGTCACTTCAAAACACTTTACTTCTGCAACTTAATGACATACATGCTTTGCCTTAGAGTTTTTTGTTATATTCTACTGTCACGTTAATATTTCATTTTTTAAAATTTCTGATCTTTTTGTTAGTATGTCAGACGCTTGTCACAAGCATGATTTGAAGACTTACTATACACAGGTAGCGTGGCCAAGCAGACCAAGACTGGATTGGGAATCAGGAACTCAGTTCTAATCCCTGCTCTGCCAATGACTTGCTGTGTGACCCTGGGTGAGTCACTTAACCTCCCTGTCTCAGATGCCTCATCTGTAAAATACGGATAACATTTGACTGACCTACCTTGCAGGGACCGTGTAGGTGAATAATAATCAGTGACTATAAAGTACCCCCTATTACAAAGCTCTGCAGAACTTCAAAATCTATTACAGATGAAGCGCTCATTAACACACATTAGGACACAGCATCCCAGTTTTCTTATTGACAATTTATAGTTTTTGCTAATATATATCTCAATAAATTATATTCTTGTGAAAAGATTTTGTACCTAATAATACTAAAATTACGTATTTAATTTACATTATGATCTATGTTCTGCAGTCACCCTCGATTAAGATGTTTGTGAAGGTAGCATGAGATCAAATTAAAAAGTCAGGCATCCTTCCAATATTAGCTGCATCTGCGGTGACTGACTTGATTAAATGCAGACATCAGAGATGTAAGCGTACACAGAACTAGAATTTAATAATAATTTAAAAAAGCCCTTTTGTTTTAAACCAGGTGACACTATCGGGAAGTCAACTGCCCTCTGCTTTTTTCAGGGGTTCACAGAGCAGCAGAGCACAGTGGCGCAGGCTCCGTGCTCCAAACCACCCGAGTTTCACTCCCAGCCCTGCCCTTTCCTGGCTGTGTGACCTCAGGTATGCTGCTTACCTCTCTATGGATCAGTTTCTTCCTCTGTAAAATGGGGACACACAAACAATACTTCACTAGGTGGTGTAAAAGGTAAGACAGCACTTAATGCAATTCTCGGAGTGATTTAATATTTCACAATATTTTCCTTAATCACAAATCTGTTATCCCTTTCTGCATTTAAGTTAATCAGTAACGTTTCTCTAATGTTGATTTAGAAACATGGACACAGATAGCCAAGGGTAACAATATGTATGGAGATGTATTCTGTCGTAGTGAGAAGACTTCTCCAAAGTCCCACGCAGACTTTTATATATTGGTCCAGTCAAAAGATGACCAGTTTTAAATTATGTGGTGACAATAAAGAGGTTCCTGGAATAACCTCTTTAGGGGACAGGTGTATGGGAATCAAACCTTTTATACTCACATTTATTTCATCACCCAGATGAAGACAAATTACTACGTGAATTATCATACCTTTTCATTATAATTTGATTGCTTCAATCCATTGTAGTGGTAGACAGTAAAAGACTCTGGACCACTGGATCCCTATTATAAATAAAGTACTATTAAAAACGTTAAGTTATATTTTTGTATCAGGCAGTTTCTAATTAGCAGTTAAAGTAAAATGCAAGCTTTTAAATCATTCTTTGATTGGGGACTCATTTGCTAAAGCAAGACACTTAGCTTTAGGGAATTAACTACTAGAAAGCCCTGTAGCTGAAACTGTTGCTTCTGAAGATACAGGAGAACAGGGAAGTCTGACTGCTACTCTCTTCTCTAGTAGCTGATTTTAACTACGAGCATTTATCACTGTATTTTAAAGGCACACTTCTAAGACACAAAATACTTCCTAGAACATATTTCTGCTTTCTCCCTTTAGATGTTATCCCCACTGTCTTAACCTTGCTTCATGTCACCTGTGTGCTGATCTTTTCTGGCCACACCCGAGGGACACACAGAGGGATGTGTGACCCAGGCTAGGCAGAATCCCTCCTTAGAACTTTTTCCAACTGGAACTAAGGGAATAGAGCTACTGACAACTGTGGCATCAGCTCCCAGAGAGAGATGGGCTAAGGGGACACAGCCACTCCAGAGAGGGGAAGGATGGGAGGGGCAGAGACTCTGCCTGCCACCGTCCCGGTGCTGCTGTGCTAATTCCTGAGCTACTCCTTCCCACTCATTTCTTTTCCTCTCACTTAAGCCAATGCAGGTTGGGGTTCTGTGATCTAAAACCTCGAATCCAGCAAAAATTCAGTCTCACCTCCACCTGTTCGCCTTTCTGAATTGTTTAGATAAGCATGCAATTCATCTTTCCAACCAAAGACCTTCGGTTGGCCTGTGCTCATGATTTTTTTTTTTAAACTCCTCTCTAAAATACCTTCTCCTTTCTCATTTTTCTGTAAAGTTTTTCCTGAACGCACTAGTGGGCTCTTTACTACTTTGGAAACTTCATAGTCGAAGTAATTAACTCGAGACTGACTTTGCATCATCTCTTCTCACATTCCCAACTACAATCTAAGTCTTATGATTTTTTTTATCTCACTTCCTTAACTGTATAAGATGCAATACAATCAATTACTAAGACAAAATCACTAATAATTTATATTGTCTATTCCCAGTAATTAACTGGCAAAAACCAGAAATACTAACAAAAGGCTGTATAAAAGAGCAGTAACATGCTTAAATGCTGGGGACAGACAGACCCATGTTGGATTCTTTAGCCAGCCACTTACTGTTAATTGTATGACAAACAATTGTCTTAAGTTTTCTAACCCTCAGTTACCTCCTTGCTAAAATGGGGGGAAATAACAGTATTTAATTTAGAAGGTACACAGGGCCTGGTGCACAGTGGATGCTTAATAGATGGTAGCTGCTTGGCCACTCTACTGTTGAAAAGCTTAGGAATATTCCCACTCTTTCTGCCTGCATCAGCTTCTCCCTCCCGACAAGGACACGTCCTCTAGTTGTACCATAAATGGAGCATTTGCAAAGATCACGGACATTAGACAAATATTTTCCTGGCTGTCCTTCTGACACCACTTTTGCAACTTTACTTCATTTCGGGGTGGTGGTGGTGATTAAATCAATGCTTACTGAATTATCACTATATTGATCTGTTAGGTACAAAGCAATATACAATTAATGGACAAATGAGTGAGTCACTATGTACTTGGTATCAGTGGTGTGGGCCACAACCTGAGATCTGTTACAGAGGGACTCTGAGGTGTTAAAGGATAGGAACAGGTGGAATTGAGATAGGTCTTTCCCTAAAACAGCAGCTCTCAAATTCTTTGTATCAATGAAATTTTAGAGGGTCCTCGGTCTAAACTGCGTGAGGGGCTAGTTAAAAGTGACACACCTCCCCTTCCCAAAGCTCCCTGATTCCCAAGGTCTGGGGAGGGCCTGACACTTGGCATTTCTGATGAGTTGTTGGAGACCACACACAGAGAACCCACTGCTCTAAAAGACTAAGAGTAGGATCACCTGCTTTGGTTGAGGAAAGAACATGTATTACCTAGAGGCAATGAGACTGGGGTTGGATAGAGAGTTTGTTCAGAATAGCAGGAAATAAGAGTAAGAGATGAACTTGGAAACAGTACAACCCAATGGGAAAGTCTGTTGTAGATAAAACAAGGTGCCTAGAGACCTCTCACTATCTCAAGGAATACTACAATTAAATTAATTCCTTGATAATAAGGTGCTATAAGTAGTATAGTGTAATTAAACATAAGACATATACTTCTAGAAAAGTTGGTAACTATTCACTTTTATATTTCCTAGGTGCTTTTAAAAATCTTCCCCAAATGAAATTAAAAACAGGAATATTATCTTTTTGTTATATTCATGACTAGGAAATAAATTCCTATCAAATGTTCTGATAGCAAACTTGAAATATAAAAATTAAGAGTAAAATATTTCCTCATTTACTATTATTTATCCAGATATCTAAAACATGACACTAGATTCCAAAACAAACTTTCAAAAATATCCTACGGGTTGGAATGTGAATAATAGGGTACCGTACCTAATAGAGTCTAATAATGGCAGAAACCCAAATATATTTTTTCATGAAGCATTTGCCAAAGTTTTAAAAAGTCCTAGTGCCTCTATGATGATATCCTCACACATTTTCTTAATTCACAATAGCCACAACAAATAGATACAGGTTTAGGAAATATGAGTTCCTTTTCTTTTTCAGTAATCAAGAAGTGGATGCTAATAATACTGTCGACTTTGTTAATTTAATGTCTCAGTCTTAAATTATCTTTAACAATTATATCAGGAATTTTAGCAATTATATCTTGAAATGTTCCCTCTAGGCTAATTTTCTATTTATTAGTACATCTCTTTTATAATAGAAGTAGCAGAGAAATTGACATTTCTTTTGGAACAAAGACCATTAATTTAGACTATACTGATACCTGATGAAATGACCATGTTATATAGCTAAACAGTTTGAGTTAGTAGTAAGATTCTTCACTTAGATAAGAAACAAGACAGGTGCTGCCAATAGAAATGGCTTGCCAACCACACAGCAGTAACTTGGAAGTTCTGAGCCTCACATAACTGCTAACCAAGCTTAGAGGATGACATGTTCCAACACGCAATGGCACTGCTACCCTCAAAAGTTCTTCCCTCAACCTAAACTCTCCTGGAGCTTAGGCCCCTACCTGTGGGCACCTTTACCTTCTTTCCAAGTATTTGGAAAGTCCTAACGAGACACACACCAATCTATGAACAGTAGTTGCTTGAGAGCAGGAAAGGGAGCAGGGGAGTGGAGAGAGAGTCGTCTACTCTATGTCTCAGGTCTCTTTCTTTACCGTCATTTCTAATTCTATCTTCAGTCGGTCTCCACCAGTTTCCACAGGTCTCAGTGGACCCTGCTCCCGGGGCCAGACCCCGACAGGAAGGTCTTTATGTAACAGCGTCTGCTCAGTCTCAATCCTATGTCAGGACATTTTAAAGGAGTAGGAAAAAAGGCTGAAACAATCACAAGTGATCATCTCAATAGAACAAAACAATAAATATATTTCCTCAACTATGTTACCTGATCAGGAAAAAATTCTTGAAGAAATGGACCCAATAATATGATTCCTAATCCTTCTGGATCTAATTTATTCTTCATGAGATTTATACTATGGGGAGAAAAAAAAAAAAAGAAAAACAGTGGATACCAAAGGAAAAAAAAGTAACTTATTTTTGTTTCATGATTAAATTACTTGTACTATAACACATTTGACTGCCAAAAATCCTAAGAGCTGTTCTTTTTAGAACCTTAATAACAAATACACAGGAATGACATCTAATCTGCCAAAACTTGGTTATTTTTAAACTAGAGTAATCTGTTACTATTTAAAATTTAAATTATGATGATGACTTTGGAATCTTGTTCCTTATTAGGTAAAGTACTTTAAAAACCAAGGCTTATAAACTTAGGCTTTGTAATCTTCCAAAGGCCAATTCTCTTTGCTTCGTAGGTATGCCTGAATTTAACAATCAAATGAGGCATTTAGCTTGGATTGTTTAAGCCCAGTGACAAAAAGAAACAGTATCAGAAGGCAGTGGTATGTGAGATAATGAAAATATCTCTTAAAAAGCTTACTTTCAAGAACTAAGTTAGATAGAGGCTTAAAATTATTCTAATATCAGTTGAAGGTTGAAGAGTACAGGAACTCTGACAGGGAGTGCTACAGCCTAAAGTGAGTGGTGCTCTGCACAGCCCTTACCATTTAGGGGAACCAAGGCTGGAGATAGCGGTTGGCAGGTGAGACTAGAAAGAAGGCAGAGAAAAGCAGACTGCAGTTTTAAGAGTTTGCAAATGAAAATGGTCTTCAGAAAAGTTTTATCCTCCATGTTAAACTGTAAATGTCAAGTTACGTAAAACTTACTCTACGTATGTAACACACAAAAAGTGTTGTGTTTGGGGGTTTCAGGTAGCTCTAGTTAACCAAACCCCCAGGAGTGACTTCCTGCCTTCTGTTTCACATCAAAGGTGAGTCTAGACACTATCTCAGAGTTTGGGGGATTTGCCCCCTCCTGTTCTGATACTTGTATCCAGCTTGGGTCAGTTACCGTGTGTTTCTTTCATAAAAGGAGTTTAAGCTACTCTTATATGGGCAATCTTTATTTTAAGGTTTATGAAAGCTGCAACGGTGCAGAAGGAGCCTTGCCTCCTGGAAACCCCCTGGACCAGGTTTGCTCACAAAGTGACATACAGTTAAAGGCCCCTCAAGCGTCTTGCAGGGCCAATACTATCACGATCCTATAGCCAGGATCTGTATCTTACAGTGTGTTACACAAAGCATATGACAGTTTAATGGGTCTGAGTGAGGCCAGGAGATTATGACAGGAAACAGATGAAGGCGAAGTCACATTATAGTTAATGTATTTAAATTAGCTAATCCTTAGTATAGCCCCATTAGTTTATGGGCCATCACACACTACAAATGTGACTAGGCCTAAGTACAAAGGGAATACCTTGGTCTAACCTTTGAGCTACTTCTAGAAACACAACCTGACAATTCAAGGTATGTTATACATTCTGATGAAACAAGAAAAATTAGGTAAATGATGACATAAAAATCTGAAAAAAATTTTTTCCCTCTTTCTTAAGAATCATTAGTAAACAAAATAATGTGAGTTCAATTCTCTTGTGTAAATTTAGAGCAGTGCAAACAATATGGTCTCTACTTGGAAATCAGTCTAGAAGACATATAGTCTTACTATCATATCTTTTTTATGGGGCTAATTCAGCTCTCTCTTAATTTCTCAAGTTAACAATGATTATGTCCATTAAGAATGGATGATATCACAGCTACATATAGTAAGACTGACTGAGATATATTATTTCAGGTATGATTAGTTTATATAATGTTTTTATGTGTGACATACTTTCAAACAATGCATGGCAGAACATACTTAAAATAGGACCAAATTCTAAAAACTGTATATACCGATGTGTGTCTGTTATTCTGCTAAACCTTTCATTTTCTTTTGTTAGCTAAAGTCTTTTCATTGTCAGAAAAAAAAATTCTGCATAAAAAAGGGAAAAGTTAGTACAGATCCAAGGTGATCTTCATTATTGTTTTTCCACTTGTTAAATCTATGTGTATCTGTTTAACACGAGTTATTTTCTCCTGGACAGTAACTGAAGATCCTACATCTAGGAAGGAAGTTACAAACATGATGATGCATAAAACATGAGTGAGAATGACGATGACGACAAGGTCCTCAGGAGATCCTGAAAGTCCGTAGCCTCCAGTATATTACAGGTTACTCAGAAAAGTGTCACATCATTTAATTTGATCATTTAGAGACCTTTCCTGTTTTTGATTATCTTTTAAATAAAGAGGGAATGGCAGAGGCCTGCATTCCTATTAAATATGTTACATCTTGCTATATTAGATTAGTCTGACTTCTTCCTAAATTTGTTTTATATAAACTGCTTTACTTTATATATGCAAATTGAGATTTAAGAAAGGCAAAAATGTACACTGTGTCTTCAACTTAATGGCACCCTTTCTGAGTTGCCTAAGTAACACTTCCTGTTCAACTTACTATTCAGGATCTGAAACAAGGTCCAATGCTTTCATCACGTCTTCCAGAAGTGAATCTGGTATGAATCCATTATCTGGGGAAAAAATATATCAGAAATAACTTGAAATAAGAATTTACTCCAAGACAAAGAGTATTATTGCTGAGAAGATTCCAGGTAAAATCATGTACAAAAGATAAAGAGTTAAGGAACAGCATATTAAGTTTATCTTAGGCACTATGCTTATTATTATCAGACTCCCATATTAGGTTTTTTTGGGGCACATATCCAAAGATTTATTTTCAAAGTTAATTTCAAATAAAAACATTCACCATATCTGAGAACTCCGATGAAATTTACAGTCCAATTACTTTTTATTATAAATTTAAGTGGGCATAAGGTTTTTCCAGCCTAATAGTATATCTTTTGATAAAGAGACTGAACCTCACATTCTCATCAAAAAGTCCAATTAAAAAAATTCTTCAATAAAACCCCTTTGTCACAATGTTACTTAGCTTGAAATACAGATAACTAACAATACAGGAGCAGTACAAGATATCCTGTAACAGACTTGGTAATTTAGAAAAAAGCCATAGTTTTAACAGAAAAAAAATTCAAAGTTGAAATGCAGAGTAAAATCAATGCTGAGTATTTTATGGAAAATACATATGTATTTTTTTTCTTTTCGACTTGATGAGGAAATAGCACTGGCAAATGGCCCAAATGCTAGCTAGTAGCTTGAAACAAGTTGTTTGTTCCCTTAATGTACAGTGCCCAAGTCCCCTTAGCCATTCACTCACTCCTAAAGACTGTCTCAGCTTTCAATCAGCTTCTAACACAATGTCTTTTTCAGGAATTAGATGATTAAAAGAAAGAAAAAAGCCTGCCATGGAGAACGAGGTGTCTAAAGCCCTTCTCCTATCAGCTACAGAATATAGCGTGGAGTGCTCTCTCAGGATGTGGAATCGCACGGTCTCTATCAGAAGGAAACAAAGACGCTTCAATGGTAGAAAGGTCTTTCTATTCTTACGCCTCAGAAACAACTGTTTACCCACTGGAAGAAAGGTTGGCCTTGACTAAAAGGCTACGAATCATTTAAGATCATTAAAAATGTATTTTTTTAAGGGAAGGGTTAGAATAATTCCAATTTGTCAAGTTCCCAATAATTTGAAGTATGGTGAGTAAAGACCTTGTTGAAGGCACTTGTGAAAACATTCAAGCCTTATGGGCTTTGAGTTTGAAACACAGAGAAAATTTCCTTATTTTGTTTAGTTAAGTCATAGCTAAAAGGTAGTATTTCTAATTGTGAAAAGGCTTTCCGTGGCCACCAGCAAACAGGAACAACTCTCTATGTGGGCAGGTTTCTTTGTTATGGGCTCCCCTGCGTGTCCACCTGACATCACAGGTTGGTTTCTCTTACCCAAAATACTCAAGAGCAGAATAGATTTTAGAATACTTGCAGATACACAGTGGTTGAGCACCCCTAATTTGAAATTCCAAATCTGAAATGCTCTAATGCTCCACGAGCATTTCCTGTGAGTATCATATCAGCACTCAAACAGTTCTGGATTGTGGAGGATTAGGAATTTTTGGATTAGGAATGTTCAACCTTTACGGTGCTCTTCAGAGTACTGGAGGGCATGCATCTTGTAAATGGTGGCAGCTTTCCCTGAGAAAACATAACCTGCAATCCAACTCCCACCTCCAGGAAGAGCTAATTGGTTGTACAGAGACACAAACCACAACAAAATGACTTCCTGAATACCACACTTAACTTATACATAATTAACCTTAAGCTTAAACATTCTAGAATGTTTTTAAAATACCTATGAAATTTATAATTCATAAACATTCTTAAATGTAACAATAACAAATCAGCGACTCTACATTTTGTACACTTAGCATTTTAAAACTAGAGGTGTAATATAATTTTCAAAATCCTTCAAAGACTTTTCATATAGCCAAGATTAAAAGAGATCTCAAAATTGTTTATTTTTGTAGAACATTTCACATGTTACTCAATCCTACCCACAAAAATAAATTCTTTAGAAAAAGAACAGAATCACGAAACCTAAAAACAGATGAAACCCAGGTCATCCAGCTTAGTTAACGGAATCCCCGGAGAACAGAGGAACAGAGCCAGGATGAGATGGCCTCAATACCAACCACCAAGGAAATACAAGAAGTAGACGTGGAATGCACAGGCGTATTAACTACGTGAATACGAGACGGACTGCCGTGACACTGAGCCTCTGGACCAGAATGTGAGTGCAAACCAGTAACAGAGGGTGTGGCGGGTGTGACAGGAGGCAGCCATGTGCAGACACTCTGATCCTGCTATATTTTGTTTTAGAACATTTGAAAGGAGAAAAAGTAGTTGTTTGTTTAAAAATATAAGTTGTTTTACCAGCAGAATGTCATACTGTTCAAAGTGCCAAGCTCCTAGAGGTTGAGGGGAAGAGAAACTCAACTCGGCAGAGTGCCGCGAGGTGTGTGCGGAAGCCGGCTGGTGATCTGTGCCAAGGTAACTGCTTTCATAGCTGTGAAGAAACTAGAGTTGGACTTTAAAAGGAAAGATATACCTATCATGAATTCTGTTTTGAAAGATTAAACAATAAGACAGAACCTGGCAGGTCTCAAAATTTTAGTAGAACCTCCGTAGTGGAACCCCTCCCTCTGCTGACCACCTCAAAGTGACCTAACTCATAGACCAGACATGCACATGTGCCTATCAGCACAGCAGGCCTAGTTCCTTATGTCGACCAGCTCTGTGTGTTGACCAGTTGGTCACAGTCCCTTGGGTGGTCAACTCACAGAGGTGCTATTGTAAATCAGAAATTCAGAATTAACAGAAGGCAGGGAAAGGGCTTCTCATACTGAGATAAGAGCTTAGGAGGAGGGTACGGAGCACTAACTACCTGAGACTGTCATTTTCCAAACACTGTAGGGGAGGAAGACTAAACCTTCTTGGGAATAATAATAACAATCCAGATTAAGCAGGATTTAATATCATTTGTTTGAATCAAATAATAGTTTGATGATTTATTTATTTTTTGAGACAGAATCTCACTCTGTTGTCCTGGCATCATAGCTCACAATAACCTCATACTCTTGGGTTTAAGAGATCCTTTTGCCTCAGTTTGGTCTGTTTTTAGTATAGCTAGGGGTCTCTCACTTTTGCTCAGGATGGTCTTCAACTTTTGAGCTCAAATAACCCACCTGCCTTGTCCTTCCAGAGTGTGAGGACTACAGGTATGAGCCACTTTGCCCAGCCTAAAGGATTTTATTTTTGCCAAATGTTGTGTTATATGTTACCTAATAATGTATTATTAAGGCTTTAATACTATAGACCAGTGGCAACCTTCCTAATGCCGGGACCCTTTAATACACTTCCTCATGTTGTGGTGACCCCCAACCATAAAATTATTTTCCCGGCATTAGGAGGGTTGAGAACCCCTGGTCTAGACCAATAATTTAATAAAAACTCCTATTATAAAAAGTGTGTGGCCTCTTAGACGTTTTCAGCTCCCTGTGGTCTTCTTGCCGTATTACTGCTGGTTGGCCTATCTGCGTCCCCACTTTAAGTATACTCAGAAAGAAATGCATAGCTAATTTACAGCTGTCCTATAAATTCACTTTTGTTACATGAAGGAAACATTGCTAGATAAATAAAACATGGTGGCAAAAGACAGAACAACATGGGCTGGGGCAGCCCAATAGGGACAGTGACGACGGTGCTGCTGTAGCTGACGGCAGCAGTGACAGGAGGGCAGGAGGGCTGCTGCAAGGGCACAGGAACAGCAGTTATTCAGAGGGAACAGGAAAGACAAACGAGAGGCAATTCTAGAAAATGGGGATTGGAGTACATCACACTTGGTCTACATCTACATAAAGATTTTATGGAGCTCTTAAAGGGGCACACTGAAATAATTCATATAAAAGATGACCATCAATATATTTTAGCCACTTAAGAAATAGCATCAGTATAAACCAAAATATTTATCCTTTGCCCGAATAGTGTTGCTTCCTGAGATACAATTTTAAGAGGGGGGTGGGAATGGAGCAGGGGATAGAGAAAGATGAAAACCAAACAAAAAACCCAAACCATCAGGGTCTGGAGGTTATTGGATAAGCTCCATGCCACCGTTTTTGAATTGTTTAAACAACTCTATGGCCAATTTATTAAGTATTAGATAAATCGTGTAAAGTAGATATTAAGTACATATTACAGGGGAGAAAACTAAGATTAGGAACTTGGCTGACATTACACAGCTACTGCGGAGTAACAGAGAGGGCGTCCCTGTCTAGTATCTGGAGGCACTGGGCACGTCCTCGGCTGCCCAGGGTCTTCCTGCACACTGCTCAATCTACTCCAGCCTCAGTCTGTCTATTTTATCATTATTTTTAAAAAAGGTTCTGATAAAACATGTGCCAGAATACAAAGCACATGTCCAGACACTTTTTTCCATAAAAGGATTTGAAAAAGTAAATAAGTACACTATGGACTTTCTGTAAAACCCACGTGTAACACTGTGCATAGGCCTGAGAGCTGATTCTCCACAGGCTCTGAGCACACATATTAGTGTTTACTTTTATCTCTGAATTTGAGATTTCTCATTAAAATGAGGCAAATAATTAGAGGTAATACATCAAGGTCCTGCTGAAATTAAAATTTTAGTAGTATTCCAAGAGAGAAAATAACAGTTCAAAAATGTATTTTTGATCTTAATTACAAATAAAGCTCTTAAAGAATCGGACGTGGAGATTACTCTAATTGCTCAGATAGCAAGAGAAACGGTATCAAATTCTTATTCCAGAAAATTAAGAATAACAGTTCTACATAAACTTAGAAAGGCTCAACAGCACCTCTGTATGGTGCTAGCACCTAAGAAAAGAAACCGGTAGTGGAGAGAGAGGGAAAGATCGCTTTATCTCCTAGAAGAGCAGCTAGGATCCAGTGTTGGTTCCCCCGTTAGGTATGTGGCTTTGGAAGTGACGCCAAACATCAGATGTTTGGTTTTCTGAAGAACAGAACAATAATAATAATAATGATCTGTCGCCTAGGCTATGATAAGGCTTTAACGAGATCAGGGAGTTAAAGTGCTCTATAACTCTTAACCTTCCATGCAAATGCAAACGTCATCAGCAGCAGCAGCAGCAGCAGCATATTAAACACATCCCTGATTGTGAACAGGCTTATGCCACCTGTTAGGGAACGTGGCCTCACAGCGCTCCTCCTGTAAAGGGGGGTCACCCTGCACAAGTCCATTTAGTTCATCACGTGCCTGAAGCAGTGATAACAGTGCTACCACTTAGCCTACCTCAGCCAGACTGTGGGCTGAGATAAAGAAACAAAAACACTCTGGGGACCGGAATTTGAATTCTTTTTTTCTCATTTTGCCTCCAGGTCAATTGTTCCACAAGTATTCTGAGAGGGGCAACAAAGGACAACTGTCCCCAGACCAGCTTCTGTCGGATGGAAACTGGCACTAGCCAGATGCTTGTAAGAACTATTAGAACATTAAATGTTCCGGGAAGGCTGGATTGGCTTCCATCTTGAAGCTCGAGTAAATAAAGGGATTAAAAATAGATGAATTTTTCATTTTTAGTCTTTTTGGTCACTTAAAAACTAATGTGCTAGTCTTGTAAGTTTGATTTTTTTCCTCCAAAAATAGTATGCTAGAGTGAACTATATACAGTTAATCCACGAACAGTGATAGTCACACGAGAAAGTGGAATTTTTCTTCTATGTGTTAAGTTATATATGAGGGTAGCTGAACACATTTTGCTTGCTTTCCTTTTAATAATTCACTTTATAGTGTTGCTAAGCTGTCATAGTTAACTCTCTGTAGATGAAAACCATTTTATTTAATCAATAATTATCTTTCTGTAATAGAAAACCAGCCAATTTATTTTTCTATGAATTGCTCTTGACTCAATTCTGAAAAACAGCTAATGATTATAAATTATGTTTTAGTCTGGGAAATATAAGAAACTTTAATTTTCACTGGTAAATTGGTAAAAGAAAAATAAACAGTATAAGCCTGTTGCCTAATTAAAACATCTGCAAAAAGCAAAGAAATCTGCTTATAACAACGGTCTCTCACTTTAAAAACCTTTGTTTTAGTATCATTTACATTACTGACAGAATTTTTTTTTTTTTTTGAGACAGAGTCTCACTTTTGTCACCCTTAGTAGAGTGCTGTGACATCATAGCTCACAGAAACCTCAAACTCATGGGTTTAAGCGATTGTCTTGCCTCAGCCTCCCAAGTAGCTGGGACTACAGGTGCCCGCCACAATGCCTGGCTATTTTTTGGTTGTAGTTGTTGTTTAGCAGGCCTGGGCTGGATGCGAACTCTGTGGCTGGCACTGGAGCCGCTGAGCTACAGGCGCCCAGCCAAGTTCAGGTCTTTTCTGTCTGCTCTGAAGGCGTTTCCTGACGCCTTTCTTCATTTACAATTACTACTTCTTAAGAGCTTCTAATCTTGCATTTTCCAAGAAACTCAGTCGCTGGTAGTTTAATTTTGGTTCTAAAATTTGCACCAATATAACAAAGAAAGGGGTATCTAATAAAACAGATTTCATGAAAGCCAGATGTTTGATTTTGCAATGTTCTGTAGTACTTACAGGGGCTTAAGGGGCATGACTAGGATCTTGGACAATGAGTTCACAGGACACATAAGCCAGCACTGCAGCCTGGAAACTCTGGGTAGATGCCCATATCTGTCTATAAAGAATTTCTTTCTTTGGTTACAATTTACACAACTATGGGTAAGAACATATCCCAAAATATGCCCTGATACAGGGTAAGCAATTCTATGTGTGTGTGCATGATTGCAAAGTGATCCTCTCCGCTGTAATGTGAAGTATACATAAGGAATCGTCTTAAAAAAGGGTTAACAATGGCAGAAAACAAAACATGTCTTAATCTGTAAGAATACAACATTGCTCAACTCATTCCCTGAAATATATTTTTAAAAAATACACATCCAAGTCTTTGTATTATTCATTTCTTATTTCAAAACAATACTCCTTACCTCTAGCATTACTTCTCTTTAAGAGAAGTAGGTAAATTAGACTGTTAGGTAAATTCTACCTAATTACTTTTCTTGTACCCTATTTTTCTACTCAAGCCAAATACTTGCTGGCTTTTCCTGTATATATTAATAAATTGCCATCTCTTGCCTGAATTCACAGAGCTATCACTTTCTCTTTTTAGTGTGTCCATTTGCCAATGTTGTATTTCCCTCCTCAAGTCTTCAGGATAGCTCTCAGATTTCACCATAATTCCATCATTTCTTTGAATCTTATTATACATTTTATATCAATTTTATTTTCATATTTACTTGCTATAGTTTCTAAAAACCCTCTTTGGTTAAGTTTAATCATTAGCTCAAAATATATTAAGAACATCTAGGGATAAAAATGACTATTGATTTCCTACATTTCCCATCCAAGTGGCAAGAGAATGACCTTCCACTGTATAATTCAACTTGCCACACGATGCCGTGATTCAAGTTCAAGTTGATTTACTGTAAGGATAACTTCACTCAGGGGTCAGAAAAAGTGAAGTTGCAAATCTCTTTTACTTTATTTTTAATTTTCTATTCTTTTTTTTAAACCAAAGCCATTAACAGATTTTTTACTTCCTTATAAAGATTTAAAATAAAATATTACCAAAATTTTAAAAGATTATAAATTCTAAGAGGAAAGAAACTTTTGTTTCTAAGTTAGAGAAACATAATGGAGGAAGGAAAGAGGATAACTTAACATCAACACACCAATTAGAGCAACAATTAACTTGAGATGGAGAGACAGGAAATCATATTTATAAAGTACCTACTCACATTATAAAATTCTACATGTGGTGAGCAAAGTGCTTGCCACAACATTATTCAATTAATACTCATAATGACTCTTAAGAAGTATGTGTAGTTGTTCTCAACTGATAGCTAAGAAAATAGATTTACAGACCTAAAAGTGAATAGCCTGAATTTATACTGCTGGTGAGTAGTATGAGACAAGATTCTTAGAATTTGCATGACTCAAATTTTCAGAAAGAACAGTCCCCTAAGAGTAAAAAGTTTCAAGATAGAAGAAGTATAATGTATTAAACTAATCCAATCCCTCCAAGGGTCCATTAGGACCTTCAATGATCCAGCTCCTTTGGTTTCTACATGATAATTTACAATGCAACTTAAGGCATTACTGTATTTTAAAATTATACATGAAAAAGTCAGTGAGTTGGCTGTACTCACCCAAGCTCATAAACAAAATGGTGATCAAAGTAACCCAGGTGATAGTGACACAATAAGTATTTTTTCTTTTTTTAATCCAAAGTAGAGATAGGATCTCACTCTGTCACCTAGCCTGGAGTGCGTTAGCACCATCATAATTCACTGCAACCCCAAACTCCTGGCTCAAGCAATCCTCCTGCTTCAGCCTCTCTAGTAACTAAGACTACAGGTACATGCCACCATGCCTAGGTAATTTTTCTATTTTTTGTAGAGACAGGCTCTTGCTAAGTTGCCCAGGTTGGTCTTAAACTCCTAGCCTCAAGCAATCCTCCTGTCTCATCCTTCCAAAGTACAGGTATGAGCCACCGTGCCTGGACATTTTAATGATATCTATATGAACTTGTCAAAACTATATTTTGTTATACAGGCACAAAAGAGAATAATTAAGGTAATATTCTTCAAAATCTTTATCCTGCCACAATCAATTATATAGAAATATCCTGGAAGACGATGACCTACTTTCTCAAGAGCTTGTTGAGAAGGTGGCCTTTCTCCCCTATGACAACGAATATCAGAAGATATTCTGATATTCGCTATAACTTCAGTGTTCCAAGAAACACATAACCCTTAGACCGTGACGGAACTTGGTGTACACCTGTGCAGTATCTTATTTGTTTGTTTTCACCAAGTCTCTTAAAATTTTCAAGAAACCCAATGTACATTTCATCCACTAATCCAGCAAGCCTTCTAAACATAAGAAGGTAAATGTCAATATATGTAATTCAAAATATACGAAGATATTAAACATAGAGTTGATGTTAATAAAATCTTTTACCTTCTGGGTCATAGGTTTGAAAAACTCTCCTAGCTTGTTCTGAAGGAGCTTCAGGGGCAACTAAAGCCATATCCTGAAAAGATAAAAAGCATGGTGCCAATTAGCTATAACGTCACAACATTAAACATACAACAAGTATTAGGGTGAAAGATATGAAAAATTAGGAAGATATGAAAAAACTGAGTTACACTGCATCATAGGTACGTTGACTAGGCAAATTACTAACTCTTTGATTCTAGACTTTACACCTGAAAAATGGGGAATAAAACTTCAACTTCTCACTGTTACATATGAAGCTTTACATAAACACAGAAAATACTTGAAAAATCTAATATTATACATGTAACTACTATAAAAATGTAATTTATAAAAACTAATGACTCATACATTTATTTCATGTTATGTCCCACATTACACATATAATTTAAAGTATACGGAAGTTTCAAATGTTAAAAAACAAAATTCAGAGATTACAGCACATAACACTTACATGATAACGCATTTGAGATTTGTAACTTTAGCAAGCATGGTGTAGTAATGCCTAGGCTAAAATCAAATTCCCTATGTCTAGAATTTTAATTTTTCTTAACTCAAAGGAAACACTACAGGAAGAAATTTCTTTTCCCCATGAAACAATTCTCAATCCTGACAATTCTTTATCATAGGAAGCGTCACTCTCACAATTCTAAGCATAAAAATTCAGTGTTATCTTTGACTCTTCACAAAGCTTTACTCCACATACCTAAGTCATTATGACATTCTACAGTTATCCCAGTAAAACCTTTGGTTCCTGTGAACATTTCCAATTCTACTTCTATCTTTTTCATGTCTCCCTTTTAGAATAGCTGTTGAAATTTGTGGATGAACATTTTAATGAAAATTCTGGCTGAGAAGGTGGTATACGACTATAGATGAAATTGTGTACAGAGGGGACCTTACAGGAGCACAAGAGCCTGTTTCATTTCAACCTTTATCAGTAACGAGGAAAGAGAAGTCTGAAATGAATCTTAAGATATGACTTAGAATTTCTAAGTATTACTTAAAACTATGACCCAAATAAAGGGAAAGGTAGTATCAGGCTGTTTTCCTGGGTTAAAAAACAAAACAATGTTTTAGGGGTTGGGGTGGAATATAATTGAAACAGTACTTTAATATTTCTTCAATGTCAAGTTTTACACAATTATCACTCTGTATAAAGTGGAAAGAAGGCAGGAAGAATTCAGTTTTGAGTCATAGAAGGTGGTTTACATCAAATTTTCGGGCATTAAAGATTTCAGACAATGTAAGAGCACAAAAGAAATTTACAGCTAGTTACCTGAGGCTTTGTCTCCACCTTTCAAGTGTTTCAAATTGAAAAAACATAACAAAACTATTCTAACGTAGAAAGCAATTCAGAACGATCTTGATAAAAATGCACGGCATCCCTCTTGCCTCTGATTATGAATATACCTTTTTATTTCATACTGAAAATGCAACTTTTATGTGGTGCCAGATTGCTGTAAGAAAGGCCTAACTGTAGATCCTAATATGATTTGAGAAAAAGTGAAGTCACTATGTAACAATTTAAGACAAAAGGAAGGTGAAAGATCTAACTCTGGATAATTTAATGTCAGCAAAGGATGATGTGATAATTTTTCAAAGGGATTTGGCTTAAAAAATGCCAAGGTAGCCGGAGAAGCAGCTTCTGACAACCCAGAGGCAGCAGACAAGCTCCCAGGTGCTGTGAAGAAAAATCACTGAGAAGGCAGGCTATCTGCCTGGACAGGTTTTCAATGCAGATCAAACTGTCCTATTCTGGGAAAAAATGCCACAGAGGACATTTACGTATGAGTGAGGTTGAGAAGCAGCACTGGGAGGTAAGGTGGGAAGGGACAGGCCAGCTCTGCCACTCTGTGCACATGCAGCCAGGCATGTGATCAGGACACTCTTACCTATAAAGCTGCCAACTCCAGCCCCGGAAAGGAAAAGACAAACACCAGCTGCCGGTTTTGGAATTGTACAAGAAGACGTGGACAGTTGGAACTCCCCATTTTGTTCCTCAACTGGTTCTGTCAATGCTTTGTCTATGAATTCAGGAACAGCTTTCTCAAGTTCTTTTGATACCCAGCAATGCCCCTGTCCCAGAACCCCGTGAGTTCAGCACTGGAGGTAAAGAAGCAGTCGACTTGCCCACAGTTGCCGTAGATCAGGGGGTCATGGGAGTATTTAGGGCTCATCACACATGACACTCCGTGGAAAGAACTGTCAACACTATGAAAGAGGACCCTAACAGAACATTATGAAGGAGTACATCACTGAAGATGCCATCCTTGTTACAGAAAAAGGTGTGAAAACCATCAAGCCCAACACCACAAATTCTTGTCCAGCTGGAGGAAACCGTGTCCAGATGTTGTGTGTGACTTCACAGGATTTACAACAGAGCCCATCAAGGAAATCATGAGCGAGACTGTAGATATGTAAAAAGGACGGGGTACGGGGCCAAAGGGTTTTAAGACTCGGATCTTGGAGAAATTCAAGAGCTAACAGCTACCACACCAGAGGGAATACAAGACCACTTGACGGAGATGAGTGCTTCCAAACAGCGCCACATGAGGAGGAAGAGGACAGAAAGGCAGTGCCAGGAAACAAACTGACTCTGGACCCTCTGCCAGAAGGGTCCTGAGGTTGCCTTTGACTTCTTACATGACAGGGATTCTTCCACGATGTTTGCACTAAACGACAGCAAGCCGTGGAAGGACAACTGGAAGTGCATGGAAACATTTTTAGAAAAATGAAAAAGCCAAACAGTCAAAGAAAACTTACAGTGTACTTCTGTAAAGTGCACTGAATGTGCCCGCCTCCCCTGCCCCCCACGTCCTCCATCCAGCCCCTCCTCAGCCCACTCAATGCAAAGACAATGAGGAGGATGATGTCTCTGATGACCCACTCACTCCCACTTGATAGGAAATGTTACTATTTTTCCTGCCTTATGATTTTTTCATGTTTTCTTTTCTCATGTTGATTATAAGAATACATTATATGATTAAAACAACATAAGAAATATGTGCTAATCTGCTCTTCATGGTACCAGCAAGGCTTCTGCTCAAGAGTAGGCTATTGGTGAAATTTGGGGGGTAATACAAAGTTATGTGCAGATTTTCTTGACTGCACTGAGGCAGGGTGGACAGTGCCCCTAATCCCATACTTTTCAAGGGTCAGCTGTATTTCAAAAAGGAATTAAGGCAAATTACTGGTTAAAGTTAAGAACAGTGCAACACGTATCTCCAAACCCCAGGAGTGAGGAAAAAGCAACAACCCCATTCTTTTTCCCTCCACCACACAGCCCAGCAGTGCTAGTCAGATTCCACGTAAGAAAACTGCCAACTACCGCTGGCTTTACTGATAAAGCAAACTGTGTCTTGAACAATTAAAATAAAATGCTTTGCTACTTTGGTCTCAATGATAACTAATAGCTAATCATATCACTTCCATTAGGTCTTTATCCTAGAGGAAGAAGAAAGAAAAAGACAGTGGGGAAAATCAAGAGATTACAGTAAACTCCAGGGGAAACATTCCAAATGTTTTCATCCATAGATTAAAACCGACACTCGAAAGTGATCATTGGCTTATTTTTTTGAATGTTTACCATGTTTTTTGGATAACTATAGAAAATGATCTGTTCATTAAGCTTTGTTTACATTTACATGTTTGTTTTTAGAAATGAAATCAGAAAAAGTCGAAAGCCATCTTCTATTTCCACTGAAGTGTGTTTTTCACATTGTTCTTTTAACTTTCCAATTTGATCTAAAATTACAAATTCCAGGACTAATCTTTACCACTTTGTTTTACTTAAACATTTCTAAACAAGGTTTCTAGTATAATATATAAAGATTAGTAGTAGAATAATCCATATAGCCAATTTGGTAATATATTACTATTTAATATATTACCATTAAATGTATTTCATATATGAACAGCAAATACTGAATTCCATTCATTTGAGAGTGTTTTATAATCAATAAGAAAAGTACTTCAGTGAGAGAGGTATTATAATTGCCATTATTTTTCTTATAGTAAAGGAAATGACTTCATTATAAAAAATAAAGCAAAATACAGAACTCTCCGGTAATAGCTATCTAAATGTGAAGGGTTCTCCCCCAGATTTTCCATTTCCAAAACCTCACATAGAAAAAGCTTTTAGATTGCATACGTAGTATATTTTCCCCACTGAACAATCCACACTTCCTATAATCTCTTTTAGCAATGACAAGCCTTTAAGATGGCAGAGAAAGGTTTATTCTGTGGTCAAAGTCTAACAGAAAAGAGAAAAAATATGCTGCTATATTTTTATTTCTATGAATATTATTAAAAGTATCTTAACAAGATGACCTTCTAAAATGAAGTCTGAACATATATACACTAACCCTCCATTTCTCCCCAAATCTCATGAGTTATGATGAAGATATTCCAATGATGTAATTCCAAGTTATCCGAGTCGGCATGGATAATTGGACGTATTTTCTTTTCTTCATCCTTAGTTGTCCCACTTAGAAGAAAACTGCAGTATGTACTACATCTGGAACTCTTCTAGGTACTCTCAGTTGGAAAAGAAGCTAAACAGAAGTGTCGAATATCAAATACTACTTTAGTTAGCAATTTAAGCTCTGATTGACTGTCTAAAAGTAGTTCTCTACATCAGTCTGATAGAATCAGATACTTTTATAAGAAGGCAGAGTAAACAATTTCTATTCAGCCAATTTACTGGTCAAGAGGGATCGCTAAACAATATAGCTTTTAAAATTATCTAACCTCACCCAACTTTACTTAACTAGCAACATGCTACAGGGGTGGAGTGGAGACAAGCTGTAATGGAACTGCCTAATACTCTACAACCAAGAAACAGATACCTCTTCTTCAGGTAGTGCTTTCCCTGTTATCAGTATAATTATTCACTGTTCAGGATGGACCTTTTAAAATGTAACATTAGCTATCTCCTTTTAAACTCCTACTGAAATATAAGGCCTGTCTTCGGCGAGTGGGCTAGGCATAAGTAGTTCATTACTGGAAAAGGTCTTTAACGTTTATCCATTATAC